TGGGAATGCCACGGGGACGGAGAGATTCCACAGGGAGCGGGAGCTGCGGTTCCAGCCCGGCGAGTCCCCGAGGACTCGGCCCGAGGTTTCTGCTCGTCCCTGTCCCTTTCTGCGTCAGCTCCTGGGTCCCTGCCCGGCCTGGAGCAGCAGCAGGGGCTGGAAAATTCCTCCTGGGCCACCTGGAAACTCCTCCAGGGCCACCTGGAAACTCCTCCGGGGCCACCTGGAAACTCCTCCAGGGCCACCTGGAAACTCCTCCGGGGCCACCCCAAAAACTCCTCCTGCGCTACCTGGAAAATTCCTCCTGGGACACCCCAAAAACTCCTCCTGGGCCACCCCAAAAATTCCTCCGGGGCCACCCCAAAAATTCCTCCGGGGCCACCCCAGAAATTCCTCCGGGGCCACCCCAAAAATTCCTCCGGGGCCACCCCAAAAATTCCTCCGGGGCCACCCGAACCCGGCACGGGGCTCATCCCACTGGGAAAGGCTCGGCTGGGACAGGGAATTGTCCTGGCTCGTGGAGAGTGGGGAAATAAACGGGAGAGACTCTAAAATTGTGTTTTATATTTATTTTATATTTTACATTTATATTCTATTTTATTATCAAATAATAAAATCCTGGGGTTGTTTGGGTGGGAAGGGACCTCTGAAGGGACACCTGGGACATCTCCAGGCCATGAGAGGGGTCCTGGCCTGGGATAATCCCACCCTGGGATGGCCGGGAAGGCTCCCAGGAAAATCCTTCGGCTGGGATCCCTCAGGTCCTGTCCCTGGGAGGGTCAAGATTCCCTGGAATATCTGATTTTATTGTTGATTTTATTGTTCATTTTCCCACTTCCCGGGCCTTTTTCCAGTTCAAATCCTTCCCATTCCAGGTTCTGGCTGCCAGGCCAAGGCAGAATTTTGGGAAGGATGAAAAATTCCCACCGATCCCCAAATGGGAGCAGGGTCTGGTTCCAGAAGGAAGAAAATCCTGAATTTTATGGTGGAATTCACAGCCCCCTCCCCAGGAGGATTGCGGGAGGAGCAGGGCCGGGAATGGGGTTTAATTAGGATTAATTAAAGGTTTCCTTGTCCGAAGTGAGGGGGACCCTGTGTGGAAAGCGAGAGCAGAACAGGATCCAGGTGGGAATGGACACCTGGAATTCCCAGCAGCTCCCAAACTTCCGGGGAAAATTAAAAAAAAAAAAAAAAAAAAAAAAAATTTGGAAAAATAAAAATTTCTGCTTAAACCCGACGTAATCCCAGATTTAATCAACCTAAACCCAGATTTAATCTCTCAAACCGATTTTTGTTTTTCCTATTTTGGATTTATCCTCAAAGGATGGGGGTGGGAGATGGGAATCAGCAAAGAGGTTTTATCAGGGATAAAATATTCAAATATTGGAATAAAATATATTAATATAAATTTAATATTCAATTTAAAAGAAATGGGCGAATTCCACTCTTTCTGGATTTCGAATAGAAACCGGAATTTTTTGGTGAGGAAGGCGATTTCGAAGAAGCAACAGAAGATTTTGGGGTGCAAGGAAGAGCCTGGATAAATCGCATTTCTGCTTCACAAATTACCCTCCAAACCCAAATTTCTCTGGAAAATATGGGGGAAAATCGGGATATTCTGCTCCAAGGAGGATAAATTCTATTCCCGCATCCCGAATGAGGGACCTGGGGACAGCTCTGAATGCCGGGAATGTCGCGGGGCCTTGGGGACACGGGGCTGTGCCAGCAGGACGAGTCCCGGCCCGAGGTGACATCAGCGGAGCCGCGTGTCCCCGCCTGGCGACAGCGGGCACGCCCGGGCACGGCGGGGGGCAGCGCGGGGACAGCGCCGGCCACGGCAAAAAACCCGGGATTCGCTCCTGGAACCTTTCCTAAAAAACCGGGATTCGCTCCTGGAGCCCGGGAAAAAAATCGGGATTCGCTCCTGCAGTTCTTCCTAAAAAAAACGGGATTCGCTCCTGGAGCCTTTCCTTAAAAAGCCGGGATTCGCTCCTGCAGTTCTTCTTAAAAAAAAATTAAATCCGGATTCGCTCCTGGAGCCCGGCAAAAAAATCGGGATTCGCTGCTGAAGTTTTTCCTAAAAAAAAAAAAAACCAAACCAGGATTCGCTCCTGGAGCCCTTCTTAAAAAAAACCCGGGACTCGCTCCTGCAGCCAGCTCCAAAAATCCGGGATTCGCTTTTGGAGTCCTTCCCAAAAATCCGGGATTCG